GGTAGGAAATTTACAAAATATCTTCACGGAACATGATCTTTACTTAATATCCTAATGATTTTTGGCTTAAAAGAAAAATCGATAATTTTGACCCATACAATGTATTTTTGGCTATTGCTACAAATATACCCCAGCGACTTAAGACTGGTTTTGTGCTCCAGGGTCACATATCATAATTTGAGGCATAGTCTGTGTTTTATTCTAAGTATTGTTTTATGCTAAGTGCTGTTACTTAATAATCACTTACTTCTCAGTAATCGTCTCCTTAAAAGCATTAAAGCTGTCAGAGATGTTCTGCTTCTTGCTCTGAAGAAGAGCTGCACTTCCTTCTGGACCCAGCTTGCAGAGTTCCTCAGTCAGTTTCTGGAGCGTTTCCACGTCCTTTGAGTGCTCGGCTAACTCTGCATTTGTGTCCTACAAATAAAGATGTTATTACAACTTCAGGATGTGAAACATTAACAGATAACTGATCATAGACAGGTTGTCTCTGTTCCAAACTATAGAGAGCTGTCTCGCTGTCCATCCCGGTTTTTTTTTTAATAATAACTTCACAGCCATGTTTTTAATGTATTTGCTATTGCTATTCATTGGAAGGTGGTATTATGGATCGATATTTTCAAGCTAGAGCATTTCTTCGGACAAAAAAAATAAATAAATTGCATTCACCCTGAAATGAGTATCTTTAGTCTGCCTTCTTAGAAGAAAAAGACTGTAATTTTTAGTGTTCACATCCACTATAGGCCAATCAGCTTTTTGGACGACACATAGGGCATTCCTCAAAGCTAACAGACATGAACCAAAAGTATAAAAGTCCAATCAAAATATGTAGTTTAGGAGCAGTGCAGTCGTGAGCAGCACACCTGGAGGAGCTGTGAGAGCTCAGCGACGGTCTTTCCTGGCCCGTCTGTCTCGGAGAGAGCCTGCGAGCTCTTCAGCACAAACTGCTGCACCTTCTCAGATGTCTTCTCAAACTGCTCCACCTTGTCTTGGAGCTCCTCCATCTGAGCCACCTGCTGCTTGTGCTGCTCAGAGGCGTCAGTAAACCGTTGGGACAAGCCCTCCATCTTAGTCTGGAGGAGGGCGGCAGCGGCCGGCTCAGCGCTCTCCACAAACTTCTTCACCTTTGCCTTCATGGCCATGATGCTGCTCTGCCTGCTGGACATGTCCTGCTCCAGAGCCTGAAAGAAATGGACAGGCGTTTTTTCCCCATTTTTTAAGGTTTTCTTTCTTTTTTTTTGTGGTTATGCCATTACTGTGTTTATTAAAGGTGAAGTCTGTAGAACCAAATGGAACGACAGAAATAATACAAATATGTGACCCTGGAGCACAAAAGCAGTCTTAAGTCGCTGGGGTATATTTGTAGCAATAGCCAAAAATACATTGTATGGGTCAAAATTATCGATTTTTCTTTTATGCCAAAAATCATTAGGGTATTAAGTAAAGATCATGGTCCATGAAGATATTTTGTAAATGTCCTACCGTAAATATATCAAAACTTAATGCATTGCTAAGAACTTCATTTGGAAAACTTTAAAG